CTCTAGCGCTTTGGCTAACTGAAAGGCAGCTTGGTGTTGTCACTGCTAAACCATGTTAACAGTTTGCCCATGTGGGTGTTAATTTAAAGGGTGTTGGACAGCGCTGTAGAGCCCTGGTAGAGATAATTCCAAAGCACTTGGTGGCACACAGAGAACACCAGGCAGGTGTGTTGGAACACCGGAGCAGCACATGGGAGAGGGAGAGGTGAAGGGGTGGATGGGCCTGCATCCTGCTTAACAGAGCTTGTTGGTTTTGACAGTAGTTTTGTTTTTTTTAATTAGAAAAGTGTGATGCATGGATACATGGTTGTTAAAATTTGAAATAATGATTTTCATTGCACCTGTAAACATGACAGGACAATGGACCCGCACTGTGACTGTGATAGTGTAACTGGGTATGTTCCTCCGATGCAGAGGGAAGATACTAGCAGCACTTTGTGACATGTGCTCACGCACGGACAGCACTTCTGAACCGAGTGACCATGTGTCTCACTTGTTATTAAAGCAGGACCCTTTTCACGGGGAAAATTAACAGCTGGGGGGTGTGTTCACCAGGTGGGCATCCGTGGACACTGCTCATGCTGCTGCAGTTCCTCCTGGTCCAGTTGCTGATCCGATGTGAATCAGTCGGACATTTGTGGGCTAAAAAATAGGACCCTTCTTTTCACTAGTGCCAGTGAATTTATCTAATTTGCTTTTTCCTGGGCCCCAGCAAAAGGGTAACTAAAAGAGTACAGCTGTTACACAATATTTCTATAGCCAAAATAATTGTTTTTGTTTTGGTAGTACTGGGGTTGAACCCAGGGCCTTTGCACTGGGCTGCAACCCCACCCCTTTTTAATTCTTTGTTTTGAGACAGGATCTGGCTAAGTCACAAAGTTGTCCTGGCTGGGTTTGAACTTGCAGTCCTGCTGTCTTGGCCTCCCACAGTGCTGGGATTACAGGTGTGCGCCACCACGGCCAGACAAGAGGAATAGCTTTTCAAAGCAAGATTATTGTTTTATCCTTGTGCCATATTTTTTTATGTGTTTGTTTGAGCCTCACTATATAGTGTAGGCTGGGCTTGAACTCACTGTGCAGCCCAGGCTGGCCTCAAACTTGAGGTAATCCTCCCCCCTCAGCCTCCCAAGTGCTAAGATTAGAGGTGTGCATCGCCATGCCTGCCCCTTTTATCATATTCTAAACATATAGACAAACAGGGAAAAATACCCCAGCTGTCTTCACTTTATAAATTTTAAAAACAGAACAGTGGTGTAAGTGTTCTATTTTGGTACCAGCAGCTTATTGAGACTAGTCCTAAGTATCTCAGGAGAGGTGAATATTTACATGGAGGAATACACTTCACTCTTTATTGTTCTTTCCACCCACCTTTGAAATCTGTGACCTTACAATTAGTATGAGAGAGAACAGATCTGTGAAGAGTCATAACAGCAAATTTTCATACACATGGGTTCATAGACATGTCCACAGATAGCACTAAACATTTACTCTCTGGTACCATTTTTAGGATGGTACAAGTTGTGATTAAAGTGAACGTAAAGATAATATTTTCCTGATAGGACAGTCACCGTGCTCTTTCATATACTTTTATTTCTGCGACCTTCCCCAGCACTCCTGCAAAGTAGATAAGTTTATTCCCACTCTATAGGTGAGGTTAAATGTTGGCCTTATGCTTGCACGGGATGAACACTGGGTAGAGCAGCCAAGCTATCAGCCCCGTGTTTGATTTTTGGCCGAGGGGCTGTGAGGTGTGCTTGGGCTATAAAGGGCCCAGGGAGGTGGGACGAGGGTCTTCGGGCCCTGGCGGGGAATCCCCGTGCTGCCAGATCTGGCCTCAGCATGAACCCACGGGTGCTGCCCTCCTGCTGCTGTTGGCTCTGCTGGGTCCTAACCTGCTTTCCGGTACCTGCGGTTCCAATCTTTCTAGTCAGGCCATGTTCGCTACTAACTGCACATGCTTTGGCACCCTTCTGACCAGCTTCCTGTTCTGAGCTTTTCCTCAGTTTGATCGACCCAGAAAGTTCTTCCCATGAATTGCCAGCAACTCCAAGTTGCCTACCAGCAAAGTCTGTGTTTAGTGGTGTGCCGTTCACTCTAGTGTAGACTCCTGCAGCCTGACCCCGTGACTGCCATTCCAGCCCATGTCCCCTCCCACATCTGTGTCCCTCACCCAGCCTTCCGAGTGTCCCGGAGTGAGCATCCAGGTCCCAGGATGAGCCTTTCATCCCCTCACCTCGGTAGAGCTCACAGCTTCCTCTGCCTGGGATGCAGGAAAGGGAGAGGCGAAGTGATCCCCTCACACACGCACCTTCCTGGGGACTGAACTCAGGGCCTTTGCACTGAGCTGCATCCCCAGCTGTTTTTTGTTTTTTGAGACAGGGTCTCACCAAGTAAGTTGCCCAGGCTGGATTTGAACTTGAAATCCGCTGGTTTCAGGTATTTACAGGCATGCACCACCACACCAGGCGAGGTTCTTTTTTAAATAATAGCTAACAGATTTTGACTATTCGTGCAGTTTAAAAGCCAAACATACTGAGATACAGTATTCAAGGGACCGGGGATGTAGCTCAGTGGTGCCGCACCTGCTTGGCAAGTGAAAGGTCCTTAGTTCCATTCCTGGTACCAAAAAATAAAAAAAGATACAGTATTCTCCTGTCTCCCCACTTACACACTGACCTCTCTTGGGAACCCTTTTCATTAGTTTCTTGTATATCTTTCCAAGGTATCTATGCAAATGTAAGCACATATAATTGTATATTCTTATTTCCCCCCATTTTTTGAGCAAGAGCATACCATATATATTCATCCTTTGCTTATAACAAGTTACTTAAATGATCTCTATCATTACATAGAGCGCGTCCTCATTTTTTTTTTCTTATAGCTTTATAGTATTCCATCATATTCCATTTGTTCCCCTGTTGATGGACATTTGAGTTGTTTTTTAATATTTTATCATAATGTTCCAATGTGTACTCGGGGATTGTTGAGTCCAAGGCTATGTGTTACTTGAAAATTTGAAAGATGGTGGTAAAAGTGTCCTTCATTTTTTTTTGAATGGAATTTTCTTTTTTTTGGTACCAGGGCTCGAACTCGGGACCTTGCTCTTGCAAGGCAGGCGGCGGAACCACTGAGCTAAATCCCCAGCCCTACCTTCATTTTTTTTGATTGATGATTTTTAAATGTCAAAAGAGCAGCTCAAGTCTTACTCTGATTTTCCCCAAGTCAGAAGGATCTCTCTCTAATCTCCACTTGTACATATATGCATTCATATGCTTGTTACTTCTCAAATGAGCGAAAGGGCTCAGGTTTTTATTTCATATCTACATCTTTTGTGTAAACAATCAGTACTGTAGAAATGCAAATAAAATAAGGTAGTTGCCCCTGGCCTTGTCAGTGGTCCGTGGAGACAAAGCTCTGTAGAAGTCAGAAGGTCCTCTGCAGCCACGAGACTCCGCTTAAAATCCTCCCTGGCGTCTGAGTGCTAGGGCCTGCGATGTGGGGTGCTCGGGAGGAGGAGGCCGAGCACGGCGGCGTACCGCCCCCAGGAGCCCGCCTGTGCACGTCGTCGGCGTGGTCGGCACAGTGCTCCGAACGTTTCCTAACTGGAACTTTTCTAATTGGAGAATCGCATATTTAAAAGTGTACCGCTGGAATGCCCACAAAATGTATGTTAAACGTTTTTAGTTACCAAACTTAGAAAATCAGTAATGACTTCTGCTCAGTCAAGGCACGCACCCCTTTCTCTCAGATTTCACCCACTGTCTCAGATTTGTCTGCCGGTTACCTGAACACCTTTACATTCCAGAGCCCAGTCAATAAAGTGGGTGGCCCAGGCACCTGGGAAGAAGAGGGAGCTTAGGGGCCTTGATCGGAAACGAGATGAGCAAAGAATCACTGAGCAGTGTTACTATCACCAGATTAAGTGCGTGTTTCCTCTTATTTTATTTTTAAAACTTGAAAGGTTTGTAGTAGAAAAAAGCAGTTTATTTTCCACATTTTAATCTCTTCGGGGACTATCTTTTATTTGTCTCTTCAGGTAACATTGTTGGTGGTCAAAAACAGAAATTTGTATTTTTAAATTAAAATTAAAACCTGATGAATTTTTAAAATTAATTTAAAACCTGATGAATTTGTTGCTCACACAGTCTTTCAAAGTCATGATTCTGACAGCCAAACCCAATTCTAAAAGTCGATGTCTGATGTTATCGCAGGATATTTAAAATGAGCCTCTGCCTTCCGAAGTTTTATCTCTGGTGCACCTGTGCTCAGAAATACTTCTGCCTCCGCACAGGAGCTATTGTTTAAAGGTTCTGCTGGGGCTGCATCATGCGGGCTCCCCAGGAATTATTCACACTTTAAATTTTTGTTTTGAAAAATGATACATTTGGTTAAAAAGAAAACCAGCCCCCTAAAAGCCCCACAACCCCTCCAAATCTGTACAATGGCAAGTAAGAAAACTACCTGTATCTCTTTCTGTAGTCCCTCCCACTTCAAACAACTGACATTACCAGTTTCCTGTAACTCCTTCCAAGTCTGTTTTCCGGGTGCACTCATTCATGTATGATGGACGGACACACACACACACACACACACACACACAGAGGCTCCCCCTTTCGTACACCTACAAGAATGCTGTAGGTACACATCTGTTTCCATAGCCGACTCACTGCGCACGCAGTCTATACACACACATTGTCTCTGGGCTGCACACTGCCATTACGTGAACGTTTTGTAACTTAACCAGTCACTTACTGGCTAGTGATTAGGGTGGCCGTCTTTCTACTGCAGATATCACTACTACAAGCATGCTTTTCCGTGTGTTTCTGTGCATGGGTATGCATGTATCTGAAGGGTAGATGCCAAGGGTTGCAGTGTGTTTTCTCTGTCATGTCCAGAGGCCCTAAAAGGGGATGGCATCAGTGTGTGGAGTACAGGTTCCCACAAGGCTGTGGCCATCAGTTTCCATCTTTGCCAGTCTTGCAGGTGAGAAGTGGTGTTCTGTTGTGATTACCATTGGTCCTTTTATGATGCAGCATTATTTCACCCAGGCAAGAAAGCTAGCTCAGGACTGCAGCCAAATGGGAGGGAAACCTACTTGTTATTGATCACTATCTGCACTCCTTTCTCTATTCCTTTTTGGGGTCAAAGTAAGACAGTCTTGTTAAAAAATCCTCATGGGGACAGAAGCATTTGAAGATGAGGTAACTGAACTACACATTTATCTAACAGATCCATTCCTTGTTCTCTGACCTCTCATTCATTTTTTCTAGGCTACCATTGTGTCTTTCAGGTCCCCTTTTCTCAGTTCCTTGTGCTAATGCCCCTCAGTAGCCAGAGATAGGAACATTCTTGACTTTCTTCTGTCTGGACTGTCCCTCCCCGCAAAAAGTTTCTTTCAGAGTTATCAGCTTCTCTTCCTGGTTGTTCCTGAAAATTACTTCCTCTGCTGGAGACAGAATGCCAGCTTTGTGCGGACAAGGCCTTCCCTGTAGCCCGAACCTCCAGGACAGTGCCTGACACTATGAGTGAGAATTTCTTACCATACAGGACACATACCGTTTACTGTTTCAGTATGTTCGCACAGTTCAGTGCATTCTGTCCTTGTATTTTGAATGAGTAAACGATCTATGATACCGGTTATTTGTCCTTGAAAGTCACCAAGAGCCAGGTGGCCATGTTCACTCTCATTAGTCTTTTTTCCCCAGACGAAGTCATAAGGAAGCGTCTCCTCATTGATGGGGATGGTGCTGGAGATGACCGCAGAATTAATCTGCTAGTGAAGAGTTTCATTAAGTGGTGCAACTCTGGATCCCAAGAAGAGGGGTATTTCATTTTACTCTTTCGCTATACCAGTGTCCTGGTGTGATTTTATTAAGGTCCTGTTAGTATCTCAAATTTTCATCCACCTTAAATATCCAATGAACTCACTTCTTGATTAGTCAAAAGTAGTTTTTTCCTGGCCTTTTCTTCTCTTTAAAGGGCCTCCTTTACGTTTATGAAACATGCAGAAAGCAGAGTGGTAAAAGAAAAAAGGATGAAATTCAAGATCATTAGTTTGATCACTTTTAGCAGATAAGTGTGTAGAATAACAAAATAAATGAAAATTTCTCCTTTGTTAATAAGTTAGTCTAAAGTTGCTGCAAAATATGTATGAATATATGGTCTTTTGTGTGTTATTTTGTTCTTCTAAATACAGGGTCTCACTGTTAGTTCAGACTGATTTTGTGCTTTGTATGTAGCCCTTGGGCTCCAGGGTCATCACACCAGCTATATTCTGAATAATTTCTTAACATAGAAAAATTTTCATCTGGGTTTGCTTTCATAGATACCTGTTATATACTGTACAGAGTGAAAAAATTATGTGAACAGAATTGTGAAGATAAGCAACCCTCTTAATCAGTATTTTTGAAAGTGTTTATTTAGAAAATTTGTTTGAACTAAGACTATATTGATATGACCAATAGTTCCATCTTGCATCTGTAATTAAACCAGTTTATGAAGTCAAGTATGTCACATTTGAAAAAAAAATGAAGAATAGATACTCTCTAAGTTATTTTAAATAAAGCAGCGATTCTCTCAGAGCTTGGTATAATTTAGCAGCAGGTCTTTGCCTGGGTTATAACCCACAGATCTCCTTATATGTGCGCCTCGCTTCCCCCAGATACAGCCAGTACCAGCGCATGCTGAGCACGCTGGCCCAGTGTGAGTTCTCCATGGGCAAAACATTGCTGGTGTACGACATGAATCTCAGGGAAATGGAAAACTATGAAAAAATTTACAAAGAAATAGGTGAGAAACAAAGGAATTAATGTTTCTGTCTCTAATTTTACTTTTTCATGGTCTAAAACTAAAATGCTAAAAATTTTCCTTAGTTGGTGACAGGATAACAACAATTACAGTATTAATAGAAATACAGTAAATATTGGCTATGAAATGTTTATTCTAATGTGATACAGTGCCTTGTTTTACAACATCTATTTTGTTAGTGATGGAACTTCAATTTAGAAACGTTTTAAAATTGAAAATGGATGGAGATTAACATGTTATAACAATTTTTTTTTTTAAAAAAAACCCTATATAGAATGCAGCATTGCAGGAGCACATGAAAAAATTGCTGAGTGCAAAAAGCAGATTCTTCAAGCAAAACGAATACGAAAAAATCGTCAAGGTAAGGATTTTGAGGGCTTTAGTATGCAAATACTTTTATTACTGACTGGCATTTTCATGCAGTTTTTGATGTTGTAAGGTAAAATCTGCTTAGAATCAACATAACTTACAGAAAAAAATTAGGAGCCACGTTTAATTCTAAACCATATTACTCTTTAAAATAGAGAAGAAAAGCTATGCTAAAAAAATAGTTTTACTGTCATGTGTTCTTTATCCAAGTATCTCTTAGGTTAATTTTTTTCTGTCTTTAGACTCTCTGGCCTAAATAACACGATTAATCAGCAAAGTGGATTTACAGAAGTATACGAGATTTAGAGGTTTGTTTAGAAACAAACAAATGGAGCTACTTTCAAAAAAATAATTAAAATTCAGTGGATTTTTAAAACAAGCAAACATTTACAGGCTGTCTAAATATCTAATAAGAATTAAAGTTTAATTTTGTTCTAATCTCTTTTGTTTTAAAATTGGGATATGCCCTTACCTACTAAAGCACTTGCAAAAAATTTTTAATGACAAGGGCATGGCTCATCCTATAATATAAATTGAAAAATGTAAAAATAAAATACATTGTATAATGACACATATAATATATGTGAAAACTAGAAGGAAATAGAAAATGCTTATTTGGAAGTTGTGGGGTTTTATGGCTTATGTATTCCATCTTTGTTTTATTTTTGTACTGAATATGTTACTATGTTATAATGCAAAAGATTTTATTTTTTAAAATCATGCTTACTTAATATGCTGAGTTCCAGAACAATGAATTTTAATTTTTAATGAGGTAATTAAGATGAAATTTTATTTCCTCTTAGATTTTTTTGTATGTATTGAATTTTTGGTGGTAGTACTAGGGATTAAATCCCAGGTCTTACAAATGCTAAACAAGTGCTTTGCCACTAGGCTCCATTTCTAATCTTATGTCTCCTTTTTAAAAGTTAGCTTTTGTGTGGGGCGTGGTGACGCACACCTGTAATCCCAGCACTCAGGAGGCTGAGGCAGGAGGATTGCTGCAAGTTTGAGGCCAGCCTGGGCTACATAGTGAATTCAAGGCCAGCTGGAACTAATTAGGGAGATCCCGTCTCAAAAAATAAATAAATAAGTAAATAAATAAAAGTTGGCCTTTTATTCATTTAAAAGTATTTATGGTAAAGTTTCAGTGGCCAGTTTATGGCAAGAGATATCAGCTCACATAATATAATTAATTAAAAATTACTTAAAAATATTTTGCAGTGTTTTTATTGGTTAGGCAATTTTAAAGTTGATCCTACCATTTATCATTTCTTAAGAAAGGTTAGCAGGGTGAACATGCCTTAGTTTTGGAGGACTCAGTGAAGTAGAAATAATGACCTTAATTTTAAATCATTTCTAAGTTTTGAAACATTTGACCTTTAGAATAGTGAGCTGTGCTGTTGCCTAAGATCTGGGAATAACAGTGGGATGTATTTTCCTCACTGACGTTGGTGGTGAGCAAACAATGAAGAAGATCCTCTTCTGAGTCAGTCCACTTGCAGCGCAGCACTGATGGAAGCCTGTTAGGCTCAGCCTGCACAGGATGGGGAGCAGAGGGCTCTGCACCCCCACGCAGGGTTAGATTTCTCTAACCTGGGAGAAATCTCTAACCTGGCTGGGCACTCAGACGCCAAAGAGGACTCAGCATAGGCAGGGAGACCTGACCCCTGACATCCGTCTGGCACATGTCAGTGGAAGACCAAGCGCGACCTGAATCCCCAGGGGGAGCACTTTCAGTGTCGCCAGTCATTCTAGTTTTGGCTCAATGAAGGCAAACTGGCAATATTCTCTGTGCATCTTGTTTTTCTTTGTATACTAGAAAAATGAGCAGGAGAGACTTGTGGTATTACACACTTTGTCTGGATAATCCAGAATTGAAAAAAAGAAAAACCTTAATTTTGACCCCCCCTTTTGTCTTTCAGAATACGATGCTTTGGCAAAGGTGATCCAGCATCACCCAGACAGGCATGAGACCTTAAAGTAAGTTAGGGCTTCACATACACGTGGTTACTTTTCCCACTGCTGAGACAAAATACCCAACACCCAAAGTTAAAAGAGGAAAGGCTTATTTCAGCTCACAGTTTGTAAAGGTTTCAGTCCCTAATCGGTTGGCTTCATGGCAGGGTGGCAGGGTGAGGGGCGTGGCAGAGGAGAAACAGTGCATGGCAGGCAGAAGGCAGCAAAAGCAGCAAAATGCAAGCAACAAGTAACCTCAGCAGCCCTCTTCCTGTCTCTTACATTATACACAGGCTGCCCTTAAGGTGGGTAACACACCCAGGGAGGCCTTCCCATTATCCACACCCAGAACTATGCCAAACCAGTTGGTAGACTAATTTACTAATCACACATCCTTGATCTCAGCATCACACACTCTAGATCCAGCCACCTCTGAAAAGCCCCACTTGAGGCTTTTCAGTGTAGTCAGATGTCATCCACATGAGGCTTTGGGGGGACATCTGGACACAAGCCATAATACCAGCCTTTACACATAGATGCCCAACATACTAGTCTGTGCAGCTTGGTGATTTGTTTGTTTTTTTGAGACAGGGTCTCACTCTAGTTCAGGCTGGCCTTGAACTCACTATGCAGCCCAGGTTGACCTCAAACTTGTGGCATCTTCCTGCCTCGGCCTCCCAAATGCTGGGATTACAGGCATGTGCCACCACTCCTGGTCTGCGTTTTCTTTTTAGAGAAACAGGTGGTATAGGGCCAGGGATGTTGCTCAGCAGCACTGCGCCTGCCTGGTAAGCACAAGGTCCTGAGTTCAATTCCCGGTACCAAGAAAAAGAAAAAAGAAAGAAACACATGGTATAAGTCAAAAGGAAGTATCACATTTCAGTGTCATATATTCTTTTTTTTTGAGGCAAGGTTTTGCTTTGTGATGCAGGTTGGCCTTGAACTCACAGCGATCCTTCTGCCTCGGCCTCGAAAGTACTGGGATTACAGCCTTGTACCACTATGCCTGGCTCAGTATCATATGTTCCAACAGTTCTTTTCTTTTTTTTTTTTTTGGTACTGGGGATTGAACTCTGGATCTTGCGCTTGCTTGGCAGGCTGCAGAACTGCGGAACCACTGAGCTAAAGCCCTGGCCCCTGTTCTAATCTAACAGTTCTCGACTGGATGTTTGTCCTCCAACCTTACTACCTTTACATCCACAAAAAATTCATGTAATGTACCTCAATAGGAAAATGGATAAACAGATTATATTATATGCATATAATAGAATACTAAATAACAGTAAATAAGAATATACTACACACTTTTTAAAAAATCAAAACTGCGTTTTATTATCATGGCAATAAATATCCTTACTCTCTGCCTGAAGAACAAACGTGGACTAGCGCGTGCACCTGGGCCATGCAGGACAAGGCAGCCTAGGGCTGGGGTCCAGGGACAGTCAGGGTCTTGGGGTGAGCCGTCTCCTCTGGGGGGCGCTCTTCGTGTGAGCACACAGTGCTGGCCTCCGGCCTGGGCAACACCTGTGTGGTAGCTGGGGTCACAAGAGGGTGGCAGGGCCCAGGCTCCGGGGAGCCCAGGGCCCGCGAGCGCCTCCCCTCCTTCCCCGACTTCCACCCTGCTGGCGGCACAGGGGAACCGGTCCTGCCGCCCGGAGGTGACCTGGGAGAGCAGGGAGCCCCACGAAGACTCCCCAGGCCACCACTCCCCATCCTGGCTTCCTGCTGCTGCTCGGCAAGGTCCATCCGCGTGGCTGGTGGCACAGGGCGCTGCCCTTCCTCACTGCGAAGGGGACCAGAAGACCTGTGGACGCTCCTTTCTCCCTTCCTGGGCTTGAACCCAGGGCCTTCCCTCAGAAGTAAAACCCCAGCTCGTGGTGTTTTGCAGCAGGACAGCACAGGCCTGGCCGGGCCTCCGGCGGCCCAGATGGGCTGCTGCCGAGGCCTCTGCACTAGCCCAGCCGGGACTGGCAGCAGGCTTCACTACCTGGCTCGGTTACAGAAGACAGTGAATAGGTCCAAACTACTTCACGTTCCCAAATACATACAGAATATAATATATACATGACGATTTATAAAAGGTAGAAGCCTCATCCCAAGTATTATATTTCCACGCTTTGTATTAACCAGTTACACAAATACAGTATATGCATTTATTTACTGGTTGGGCCGGGGATTTAGTTCAGTGGTTCCGCCGCCTGCCCTACAAGCGCAAGGACCCGAGTTCGATCCCCGGTACCAAAAAAAAAGACCGATACTGCAGTTACCTGAGTGAGAGGTAGAGGCCAGAGAAAAGGCTTGGGATAGAGTGCTGGGGGTAAGGTTCAAAGGACGTTTCGAGTTAATCAGCAATGTCTTGTTTCCTTTACTGAAAGAAATATTTGAAGTGACTGTGACAAAATACATCGGTTCTTGGGTTTGGGTATTATCTCTGTTTTTCTGTATGTTAAAATTTTTATCCAGAACTGTTCTTTAAATGAAAATATTCCATACTTAAGAGTTAAGAAATCCTCAGCTTTATGTCTCACTATAATGAGGTGTTATAATTCTTTATCTTTTTTTATTTAAAATGACTATCTAGTAATTTAAAAATGTAATATTAAATGTAAATTCTATTTGCCCAGTAGCAAAGTACAACTAACACTGGCTTCTTTTCTTTAGGGAACTAGAGGCTCTGGGAAAAGAATTGGAGCACCTTTCACATATCAAAGAAAGTGTGGAAGATAAGGTATTTACATGTGTGTGTGTGTGCGTTGGCCTTTCTCCTGTGTGTTAACAGATCACATCGTATACGTTTTTCTTCTTGTTAACACAGCTGGAACTGAGACGGAAACAGTTTCACGTTCTTCTTAGCACCATCCACGAACTTCAGCAGACACTGGAGAGTAAGTAAAGATGTCTCAAAACGGATGTGCAGGCAGGTTTTCAAATGACCAAGAGGCATGCCTTCTGTAATAGACACCTGGGGAGAGCGTACACCCACAGTTGCTGAGTAGAGATGGATGGTGTTAGAAGGCATTCGTCTGCTCAGCCCTCTGAGTATATGCCAAAGAGTCTTAACTTTTAGTAATGTGGGATTTAAATGCATATCTAGTCATTTTAAGAAAAGCTCAAGGACTATAGATACGGAGTTTTTCTCAGTTTGCCATGGTTTATTACAAGAAAATAATGATTCAGACAGGCTATAATGAGTAAGCAGTGCATAGAGACTTTTGCATGCCAGGGAATGGTGGGTGCTGGGAAGAACTGAGGCCTTGCTCCTTGTGTTGAGTGGAGCTAGTGGGAGAGTTCTCCTACCTTGCATTATTCCCAAGAAGGACCTCAGACCTTGGCTGGGGTTTTGTGGGGGTTTTTTGTGAACTATTACACAAATTTTAAAGTTTGATTCACCTAATAAACAACAACAAGCAAAACAAAACAGCATTTTTAAAATGAAATATTTATGTGGAACAGTTGCCACCTATGTGGGGCAGTCATAGACTGCCATTTTGCCACCCTTGCTTTACATGTATTGATTGGCTTATAAAAGATAGAAATGTTTTCATACATATACTAAATACAGAATTTAGTGCAACTTTGTGTTTCTTTCTCAATTGTAGATGATGAAAAGCTCTCGGAAGTAGAAGAAGCTCATGAAACAAGCATAGAAGCGGATGCTAAGCCGTAGCAGGTTAATTGCTCACCATTCCTGAGCATATTGAGAGAGCTACATGATCTTAGAGTATTTAGGATTTGTTGTGCTCTTGAGATATTTAAAGTTTGAGCAGTGAATACTTTGCTTTTAAACATTAATGCTCATTTCACTCATATCTCTTCACACATAGGAAAATGACTTCAGTGTATATTTGCTTTTATTGAAACACATTTTTTATTGTTAAAAGACAGGAAACAACACTGAAATATGTTTAATAAAATGTGTTCAAAGCTGGATGTTTGTGCTCCTTAGTAGTCCAGGTAGTTGGTAAGTGGTAGTGTCAATTGCTTTATAAAATAAAAGATTGTGAAAGGTGGCATTTTTAGGATATACATGATGAAATGAGTCAGTTTCTGGAAATTATCACCACTTTTGAAAATAAAGTCCATGCATAGGCTTCAGGGTGGTCACAAGCCTGTGCAGTCGTGTGGGAATGTTCATGGTGGGGAAGTTTCCGGGTACAAGGACCACTGGTATAAGAGGTAATTACAAGACGCAGAGGAAACCCATGGGCATGGCTTTCCATCTTTCTATTTGGTACTTGAGGAATATGACTGTTAAATGGCTTATTGTCATGCTTGCTTTCTGTATCTGTAATAAAAAGTACATTAATAACATGAAGAGTTGTTAAGACGCTCTTCCATAAAGGGTTTCATGATGATTGTAAAAATTAAGCAAAGGCTGAATCACTTGTAATTTTCTAAAGGATTGAATTACGTGTACAGTGCTTCTCAGGTTCCACTCTTACCCATTTATTTTAGCTCAGAGACATGACACTGCATGAATCGTACCTTAATAAGAATTATCTTTAAAAATGAAAGTTTAAAATTACCTCAGTAGTAGTCATATTAAAGGTGTCAAAATACCTTTAAATGCTTCCTCTAATTTCATCTGGAAAACTATTACGGGAGGAATCTGTAGAAATGCTAAGCCCTGAGAAATGTTTCTGTTTTCCATTATTAGTAAGGATTATGCAGCAAAAAAACTGTCAATTTTTGAGATAAAGTCTTTTTTAAAGAACTGCTGGGCAGAAGAGTCTTTTTAAAAAACCCCCATACCATTTATTAATTCACTAGAGAGATTTATTCCAGAGTATATATCAAACGATAAGAATCTCTACAAAAAATAACTTATCCAGAAAAGTCAGCAGCAGCAGGTACAGGGGAAGCACACATTTTTCAGTTTGTACTTCCTCGTGGTTCTCTTGGACATCCTCTGGAACTGCTTAGAAGACTGAAGAATTTCATCTCCTAGAAACTCACACTGCTGAAGCTCGGCGTGTCTCTGAGCCAACAGCTTCATGGATTTATCAGTCACTGTTTCGATAAGGTCGTCCACCTATGACAGACAGGACATCACGTGTTGGAAAGACTTGTCAAAACCAAAGAGACAGTTGCTTTTCCTGAGAAGAGTTCAGAAGTTGGGGGCATTCTGCAAGTCCCAGAGTATTATTCTAATTCAAGCCACAGCAGATAGAGCTTGAACACACACATGCACCACCCGATGATAAAGACTATCTCCTTTCTTCTCAAAAGAAGCCTGTGTGTAGGCCTCCAATCCTGTGGATTCACTTATTAGGCACACAGCATCGTCCCCGGTGCTCCTTAGCAGCCCTGAGGGCCCTTTCGAGTGCCCCCAGCATCACCCCCTAACGCTGACGTCAGTTCTGTCCAGCAGGGCTGTGTGTTCCATTACGCCCGGTCCTCTGCTGCTTCTGAGACCCAAAACTGAAAGCCTTTGTCCACTACCTGCATTTGAAGCTTTCCTATTGTCAGATCTGATTTTTGGAGGATGTTTTCCATGCCACGTTTCTTTTTTTTAAGCACCGGAAAATATGGTCTCTTTTTTGATGAATATGATACCTATTGTAAAAATGCAGAGCATAGAATTAGGAAATACCAATGTTACTTCTCTGCTGGAACTTAGATAATAAGAATTCTCACCCTTTGGCTATTCTCTTATAAAGGGAACATTTGCCACATGAAAACACAGGGTCGGAGCCCATATTCATATCGTTCTCCACGCCCCATGCGTCTCCTTTGTGCCCAGAGCGCTCTTTGAAGAGATCTATAGGGTGCAGAGAAATGAGACTGTCTGGCTCTGCAAGAACACGCAGTGTCAGGAAAAAGGCAGGTCATTCGTAAGGGGAGAGGGAGGAGCTGCCTCTAGCTGCTGAGCACAGTGAGGGTGTGGGGCTGTTGTAGACCAGTGCCCCAGAAATCTCATTATCACTGGATCCAGTTGTTAATTTGGCCTCATTTCTGCAGGTTTCTTATTTTCATGGCGGTCATGTCTCCAAACATAAAAAGAGAGCTCTGGGTTCTTTCTACCCCATGCCTGAGGCTTCTCATTGTCCATGGCTTACTGGCTACGAGTGCCTGTCCTGCCAGTGTGGCTGTTGGAAACCACTCCTGGGTCACGGGTCCTGGCTAATAGGCCCTTTTCAGACGCAGTGTGTCTTCCCCTTGTATTTGATCATTAACAGAGTGGGGTTTGGGGCCACACCTGGGTCCCCTCTGCCTGAAGGAGGAGTCTACAGGTGGAGCCTGCTGCACCTCTGCTGTCCTGCCTGCGTGGTGCAGCTCACAGGCCACTCTGCAGAACTTCCCCATCTATCTACAGCAAGACCCTCCCTTTTTCTCTCATAAAACCCAGTACGTTTTCTTACCAGGTACCCATCACACTTGGTAGTTCCAAAGCTATTTTTGTGATGATTGATGCAGCTATTACCAATTCCAGTGCCCAGCCCGGCAGGTTTCCTGACCCAGGATCCTAGGGCTGTGTACTTCTTTGCACCCTCTGTGGGTTGCCCTGAGAAATTGTGAGCCTTGTGTTTCCAAATCTTCCTGCTTTTTCAAAAGAAAGTTGGAAAATCTAGATTTTAATTTAAAATATCCTAAAATGCAGATGATGAATTCACAAGAACAATCTGAAGCCTAAACAAAACCCTTCTATAGCCAATTGACAATCACTGATTCAATGTTTTTTGAAATACAGAGGGGTTTTTTGGTTTTGGTTTTTTGAGACAGGGTCTTGCTATGTAGTTTGAGCTGGCCTTGAACTCACTTTGGTTTTGTTGTTGTTGTTTTGTTTTGGTACTGGGCATCGAACTCAGGACCTTCCGCTTGTGAGGCAGGTGGTGGCACCACTGAGCTAAATCCCCGGCTCCTTGAACTCACTTTGTAGCCCAGGCTGGCAGGCTGCCCTCAAACTCGTGGCAATCTTCCTGTGTCAACCTCCCAAGTGCTGGGATTACAGGCATGTGCCGCCATGCCTGGCAGTACAAAAATTCTTAGTTATAGTCAAATATATCGATCTTTATGGCCAATATGGTTTGTGTACTAAGAAATCTTTCTCAGAGCCAGGTGTGGTGGCACAAGTCTGTAATCCCAGCACTCGGGAGGCTGAGACAGGAGGATTACTGCAAGTTTGAGGCCAGCCTGAGCTTCATAGTGAGTTCAAGACCAGCCTGAACTACATAGTGAGACGCTCTCTCAACAAAAGAAACAAACAAAAAAGTCTCTGGCCTGAAGTCATGACAGTTGTCTTACAGTCCTCTGGAAGTTTTGAGATTTTGCTTTTCCCACTTAAATCTACAATCCAACAGGAATTAACTTTTGTATCTGAGGGGAAATAGGGATCAAGTTTCACTATTCCCCATGTGGATGTCTGCTTGTCTCAGTGCCATTTATTCAAAAGACTATTCTTACATCAGTGCTGTGCGATACTATAGCTTAATGTATTTCTCCTCTTTAGACAGTGATTTCCACAAAAGGAAGATCATGTCCATTAGATTACAGTCATAGTCTCCAAACCTAGAAATTGCCCGGGACATGCTAGGGGCACAATTAACGTGAACCTAGCCACAGGCAGCATTGAAAGCTAATCCTGGTGCACCTGAGGTATTCTAGGGCACAGTCAGAACTTTCTATCAGGTGGGAATGCTCTCTGTGTAGTTCGGTACAAAGCACTAGCTACTTGTGGTTACTGGCCACGTGAAATGTAGCTAGTATAGCCCAGGAACTCAAATTTCAATTTCATTTAATTTTAACTAGTGTAAAGAGTCACCTGTAGCTCTTGGCTATCATACTGGTCAGAATAATTGGATAGAGCAATTAATACATAGCACAGTAATTAAGAATGAGGGGCTGCTTCTTCCTGTAAGCAGCCTGAGGTGACCTGTGAACATGGTTCGCTACTCTCCTGACCCAGAAAACCCCACCACATCATAAGGGTGTGCATATCCCAAGTATCTGTATGTTAAAGACGCGACGTGGCCTCCTGGCATTGCAGTAATGGAGTAGGATGCGTGCCCAGCCCAAACCGTGGGGCTGCACACAGGGTCGGTGGCCCAGACAGAGTGCAGAGTTTCTGCTGCACATGCTCAGAAATGCGGAGTGATGCTGGACTGCAGGGCTTGGAGGTGGATTCTCCGGTCATCGAACACATCCAGACGAGCAAAGCACCCGAGATGTGCCACCGCACTCAGGGAGCGGGTGGCCGGCTTAGCCAGGCCACCCTGAGATGACTGTTACTGGAAAGGAACAAACTGTGCCTCCACCACAGGAGGAAGTTGCCCACAGGAAGAAAACGGCCCAGAAGAAACTGAAGAAACAAAAACTTATGGCATGGTACTAAATTAGGCCTAAAAGAAATGCAGGGCTGGGAGTCTAGCTCGCTGTCAGGACACGTGCTTAGCATGGCGCGTGCGAGCTCTGGGCTCAATCCCAAAGCCACTGAAAAAAAGAAAGAAAAAAGAACAAAGGTTCTAGAGCCAGGTCTTCCCATGTCAGAACCCAGGCTCCTGCCGCCCCTCTGGACACACGACGGACCTGGTGAATGTCATCTCTAAAATAAGGAGAGCACTGGTACCTGCCACACAGAGCTGTCATAAGGATGGCCTGAGGTGGTGCACTTAAAGCACTTGAAAACAGAGCCTGAGGCGGTATCAGCTTGGAGTTAGTATGTACTATACATAAAATGCTCGTAGTTCAGGGTCTTATTTTTTAAAAAACAGGGCAGTTTCTCATGGTGGCGCATGCCTGGAGTAATAGCTGCTCAGGAAGCTGAGGCAGGATGATCACTTGAGCCTATTAGGTCAAGACCAGCCAAGGTAAAATAGTAAGGCCCCATCTCAAAGAGAAAAAAAATCTACTCTTCTGATTATGACTTTGTTTTCTAAAAAAATTAGTCTGGGCAATTTAAGCTCATATGTACCTTCCCATAAGTAAATCTTTGGCCGGAGTCCTAGCTCATAGAGTATGATGCTGTTCGTGCTATAAACGTGGCCATTTCAATTAATTCAGTTTAATTTCTATCAGTACACATGTGTAATACATAGCCATAACGTGCACAGTGGGGAGTCAGTGTGTATATAGCACACCATAATTCTCCCACTCCCCTCCCTTCTCTCCTCTGCCCTCCCTCCATCTCTCCCTCCCTTCTCTTTTGCAAAAGATCTGTCTCCCTTTTCCTGTCATCTGTCTTTTATTTTGCTCTTTAAATTATTTAGGCTTTGGGCTTCTCATGTAAGAGGAACCATGCAATATTTAAGCACGTATGTCTGATTTACTTCACTTTACATTATGGTCTCATTTGAGTCTTTTTCCTATGCGTGACTCAAATTTATCCTTCTTTATTAATTTATTTTTAAATAAAATTGGGAATTCAGCTCCTCTGTTGCACTGGCCACATGTGGCTGATGGCTACTCTGCTGGGCGACAGATCCTTGTGTCGCCCAAGGGAATTTTGCTGGAATGCTCTGGTCTGTGGATTCCCCCCTATACCACAGGCACCAATAGGCCAGAGGCTAATATTCTCACTTGACGTTTGAACACGCGAGCCAGTCGGCGGAAAGCTCTAGACTCAGCTGCTGTCCAGACTCTAGTAGGAGCTGAACAGTCTGAGCTTGAAGTAGACAATCTGACCTGAAAAACCCTAAGTTCACGGAGAAGAGACGAGAGCACCAGATTTAAAGTGTTTAGAAGGAGGAACTGAAGTAGGGGAGAACTTGGTTTTTGCAAAATCCACAACACTGACTTCCTTACGGGTCCCAGAGGTAAATGTGTTGCAGCATTCTACCTTTTGCAGCCCTGACGGCAGAGACGTCACAGATAATCGCTTGGTGGTTCTCCGGGCCCTGAGGAGTGCATTTCCTTGGGTTATCTCCTCTGTCTCCGCTTCTACAACATCCAGCTGTATAGTTGCTTACAGAGAGAAAAAGAGAAAAGAACCTATGAGGATCACAGTTATAAACAAGTCCCTTCTATCTGACAGTATTCTGGAGAGATGGCACCATATGCTGCTCAGTAGCTTTTATCTTTGGGGTTAAAAATAAAAAGTGATTCACAAAAAAACAAAAACAAAAACAAAAACGAAACAAAAAAGTGATTCACATCTGTAATCCCAGCAGTCTGGGAGGCCCAGGTAGGAGGATCACACCAGTTCAAGCCCAGCCTGGGCAACTAAGCAACTTAGTGAGACCCTGTCTCAAAATAAAACATTTTACAAAGGGGCTGGGTAGTAGCTCAGGGTGAAGGCTGAGTGCGGCCTCCAGCACTGGTAAACAAACGAACAAACACATACATAAACAGATTTGCTACCCAGGTAGGATGGTGCACACCTTTAGTCCCAGCACTTGGGAGGCTGAGGCAGGAGGATCGCTGCAAGATGGAGGGCCGTCTGGGACATAGTGAGACCCTGTCTCAAAAAACCAAACCAAACAAACAAAGTAAATAAATGGATTTACCTCTCCTCACATCACACTTTCTGCAGTACACATTTGCCTTTTGTTGAGGTCATGACCTCAGCAGACACTAACCCGGTTTGACACAGTGGTTCCCTTTCTGGGAGTGTGGTTCCCTTAACCGTGTAGAATCCTCCCAAGTTCACAGCCATCCTTTGATGCTCATTATTGATTAAAGCACAGTTTAAACTCGTTCCCCAGAAATGTGATCAAAGCTCCAGCATTCACAGATCACCCGGATAAGTTTTTCCTGTATCATGAGCCGTGTGAAGGAATCCTGGACTTCTTAGTATTTGTCTTTATATTCATTTAATTCTCAACTCGGTAAATATATATATAATGGCAACTTTAAAATGCTGCAATAAATTGAAAAACAGTATCATAAATAAAATCAAAGTTTATGTGATAAACTAAAATCATATTTTCTGCAGATCGTACTATTCTTTTAATAAAACACCCTGTGAGGGTCCTGAAATGAGACTTTCCTGTTTAGCGCTTCGCTGTTCCACAGGGACCTTAACTCAGAATATCCAACCAGAACTCATGATTTCTTCTTCTTTTCTTTCTTCTCTCTTTTGTAACGGTACTTGGACTCACTCATACAGCTTCTACCCTCAACTGTTTTCCCTTTACCTCTTCGTTCCAAATGCCACAAAAACCCCCAAGCTAATGCTGTGAATGTCAGAGCCTGTTTACTGTTCTTCCTGAATCTGCTGCCACCCTAATGCCATATTTTCTCTACTCTGCCACCACAGCTATCTTCTAAAAACACAAATCAGATTGTGTAAATCCCCACCTTGAACATTTTCAGTGGTTTTTTTGTTTTGTTTTGGTTTGGTTTTTTAAGATGGCTTCCTTGTGTTCAAAGCTGGCCTTGAACTCCTGCCTCAGCTTCCTGAGCATGGATTACAGCCATGGGCCACCACACCCTGTGATCTCTTACCAACCCTGGGAGAGCGTTAAAAGCTCGTACTGAGTGGCCTCACTACCTCACCCAACCAGCCTCTCCCGCCATCTCCTGACCGATTTTCCTTCATCTCCTTGATATGCTGGAACTCTTGCAGTTGAGACTCTCCTTGTCTGACTCAGTCATACTTCCAATCTCAACTTAGTTGTCCTTTCTTCGGGAAGGCTTTTCCTGAACCCCCTGAAATCAGAGCATCCTTGATGTGCTTCGATAGCGCCCGTCCTCCTACCCGGCATGGGCATAATTTTCTGCACACTGTCTGAGCCCCTCCATGCTCTGACTCAGTGAGGGCAGCAACCTCATCCGCTCTATTTGCTACTCGATCCCAAATTCTGTGATGGGCTTGCAGTTAGCACTTAGGAAACATTTATTAGAGATCAAACATGTTCTAAAGTTCAAAAGAGAAACCATCTTTGGCTCACAGCAAAGACAAGATAATGAAGTTTGAGCTGCATCCAAGACGATGGGCATGTTTCTGGAGAAACCTTAGTTCAGAGGTCTGTGACTCCAAGATGAAAAAAGAAGTCAGTGACTGGAGAAGGAGGAGGAGGGATTCAGCCCTGTGTCCCCTGCGGGACCCCCAGCCCGACTCCAGCAGAGCAGAAGCATATCGTCTTCTATTTACAGCAGAAGTGCGTAGGCCGGTCCACAGCAGCTGACTGCTACCTGCCTGGATGTTGCACTAGTGACTGTTACTTCCGGAAGACAGAGTCTGTTTGAAGGGGCAATCAGCCAGCTGAAAACCACCAGGGTTTCATTTCTTTGGCTCCTCTGGGCCCCTGAGAAAGCAGCACCAGGTTCCAGCCTCATCACTGTGTGGAGCAGGGTTGTAGGACTGTAGATGGTTCCTCATGCTGGGCTGAAGGGCACATTTAAAAAGCTACAGAAGATATCCTGGGCAGTGGAATATTCTGAATGAGACTATAATCATGGTTGCACGGTAAAAATGGCATTATGTACTTTCCAAATCCCACAGAACTGTGCAGCACGAAGAGTGAGCTGTAACGTAAGCTGTGCTCGCCGACTGATGATAGTATGTCTGCACTGGCCCATCAGGTGTAGCCAACATACCACACAGCACAGCTAGCAAGATACTAACACTGGGAAACCGCACGACTGAGCAGAGGAAAAGGGTGTACAGGAACTCTGCATTTTCTGCTCCATGTTTCTGTAAACCTGAGACTGCTTGAATTTTTTTAAAAAGCTACAGAAAAGAATCCAAACTTTGATACTGCTAGTCATAACTCAGGGAATCCCAAAAAACAAAAAGACCTAAAGTTAACAGTTCAGGCTACTGTGTCTCTTCTCCATAGCCCACCCTATCCTGTAGGGTGTATTTTAAATTTTTATTTCTTAATTTTTCTTTTCTTGAGACAGGGTCTCGCTATGTAGTTCAGACTGGCCTTGAACTCACTCTGTAGCCCAGGCGGGCCTCAAACTTGTGGTGACCCTCCTGCCTCTGCCTTCTGAGTACTGGGACTATAGGCATGTATCACCATGCCCCACTTATAGGGTGTATTTTTAAATTTTTTCTTTTTTTCCTACATTTACTTGGCCCAGACTTGTTCTACAGAGCCACTTTTTCCTACCTTTAATACATGTAAAACGCTGCCACCATTGAAAAATATAAAAAATAAAAATAAAGGTAACAGTTCAAATGTTACGTCTGCCTGGAATCCCAGCATTTGGGAGGCTGAGGCAGGAGGGTTACAAATTTGAGATCGGCCTGGGCTACACAGTGAGACAGTCTCAAAACAAAAAGAAAAACAAAAACAGGCATAAGAAAATCAAACCTCCTGTAGGACCCAGCCATCAGAACTTTCATTTAATTCTTCCTAAACGTGTGCTCCTGGAAGCAGCTTCTGCAAACAGCTTCTGCAAAGGCTGCATCACCACTTTGCTTTGACTCCCACTGTAGATCTGTGCAGACGTGCAGACGTGCAGACGTGCAGACGTGCAGACGTGCGCACGCACACGCACACGCGCACGCACGCACAGACGTTAAATCGAGCCTGGCTTGCTGGGCCCTGGCTAAGCAGGCCCGGGTGGCAAAGTCAGCCCAAGTGGGAGCTGCTCAGCGGATGGCGGGTCTCACTCGGCGCCCCGGCCCGCGGGTACCCAGGGCCAGCTTTCCGTGGCGTGAAGACGGGTCTCCGCCGTGACTGTTTCGGGGTCCCTTCCACGGGCCTCGGGTGGGATGGGCAGGGCCACGCGCCTCTGGACCGGAAGCGAGGGAGCAGGGCAGGGCCGCCCACCCGGAGCTAAGACCCCCCAGCGGCGCGGCGGGAGAGCCCTGGACGCGCGCGGGGCGCCCAGCAGCGCCCCAAGTGCGGCCTTCGCTTACCGCCCTGCGAGCGCCGCCTCCTCCTCGGCTGGGCGGGAGGCCCGGGCTCCAGGGGCTCCTGCACGGTCCGCGGGCGCGGGCTCCTCGCGCGAGCCCTGCCGGGCCTCGTGGCGTCCTCGCCGCGGGCGCGCGCTGGCTGCCTTCTGCGCGTGAGCCGCAGGATTCTTCCCCAGGCGGCCCGCACTTTCTCCATCCACTTCTTTTTCTGACTTTTCTGGCTTTCGTGGGACCCTACGTCGCTTTCACTGGAGGATTCCTCTTTGGGGACCAAAACATTCTGTTTTACTAAGTCAGTAGACACAGCTCTGTGCCATCTAAACAAACGGACACACAAAAGCCGCATCAAGGACATCAAAAAGTTACAAATGAATACCTTATTAAAATCTAAGTTCAAGTGTGAACAAATAACGTAATTCCACAAAATGTGGACGATCACAGACCAAACTGCAGGGTAGGGTGACGAAACTAATAGTGCTTTGTGTTCTGTCACCGGGTCCTAGCGAGTGTAGTGTGGTCACTGTTTCATTCAATCATCATAGCACCACAAGAAGGAGATGCTTATCTTCATAACGAGTAAACTATCGCATAGGTTAAATTCATCAACCAAGGCTGGAATGCTGATCTTATCCCAGAACTCACACTGGCAAATTTAAATGCTATTTCAGACGTGGCTTCGCTACATTTTGTCACACATGGTAGTTCTGAGGGATGGCAGTCTGCTAGTGTAATCACCAAAGTACAAACTCTAAGCCCATGTCCATGCTACATCTGTCTAGAACACTCATTTGGATAAAATGTTCTAGACTCGTGTTTCCAAAATTTCAAATAGTCACGTACCACCTTTGTAATTTTGGTATATTTTGGTCGCAAAAATAGACATCTCCTTATAGCTGTCTACGTGCTAAATATTTCTCCAAGTGCTTTCCTACCACGTTACATAATTCAGTCCTTACACCATCATCTGTGATTTACACAACAAGAAATTAAAGCTTGGGGAGCTTCAGTGACTTGTGCCCAGGTGGTCCGATCCCCAGGTCTGCGTTGCTAGCCTCTAGCAGGAGTATCCCCTGCACCCTGACACCATTATTCGCCTAATGTTTTCTCCCAACTGAGTTTTTGGTCAGCGTTATCCAGATCGATAATATACATGAAATTCTCGTTTTGCCCTTTTAAAAAAAAAAAATTAGACTTATTATTTTGAGGTAATTGTAGGTTCACATGTAGTTGTAAGAAAGAACTTGGGGAAATCTCACATATTCTTCACCCAGTTTTCCCAACAGTAGCATCTTCCACAACCATGGCATGTTATCAGTAGTAGGAAACTGGCATCAGTACAGTGGAGGTACAGAGCATTTCTGCATTGCTGATGTCTCCTGTTTTATGGCCACACCTGCCCATCCTGGCATACATTCAGATACCATTTACATGACCTTTTAGGCTTCAAAGAATGTTCTACAAATGGAGTCCTACAGTGTATGACTTGCTAGATTTGCTTTTTGGGGGTCAGTGGTGGGAACTGACCCAGGTCCCACATACCCTAGGCAATGGCTCTGCTGGCAAGCTGCTCCCTCAGCCTTAGAATTTGCTTTTTCACTTAACATAATTCTCTGGACTTTCATCCAGGTTGTATGGATCAATAGTTTGCTTCTTTTCATCTCAAGCAATGTTCCATGATATGAATAAACCACATTTTAATAACCGTTCACCCAGTGAAAGGCATTTTAATTGTTTCCAGTTTGGAGCTGTTAAGAATAAAGCTGCTATACCATTTCTGTACAGGCTTTTGTGTGAACACGTATCTTCATTTGTCAGGGTAAAATCCCAGCTATGATACTATACACCCTACTATGTTATGTCACATTATATGACACCTTGTAACATGTAGTGTATGTGTTTCTGATATGGGTTACATCAGTTACTAACCGTGAAACTGCTCTTTGTGTGCTAGCTAAGACAAACGTCTCAGGTGCCGCCGGGAGCACACGGACAACCCGACTGCCCTGCCTCTCCTGCGGGAAGAGTTCGCTGAGGGTGTGGGTGCTGGTGCCCTGCAGTCTTAGTTTCTCTCAGAACCGCAATTCCCCACTGTGTAAGCTCAGTCAACCTTACTTAGCCTCTAAAAGCTCTGGATTCTCTTACTTGAAAATGGGCACAACGATCCTGAGAAATGCGGGAATAAAAGGACATAATTTGTGCTGGAACCTAATGAAGCTTCAATCTGTGACAGCCTTTGTCAGCACACGGCTCTGAGGTGTGTGGTGAAAATGTAGGAGGTGCACAGGTGGGAGGAGCAGAAGAGCCAGCCGCCTCCCTTCTGGGCCAAGGACAGAGGTCTGTAGACCGCACAGGCAGTGTGGGCGTGGGTGACAGTCACTTAGTCCTTAGAGCTGTGCCCAGTTACTGCGAGGATTTTCTGAAAGAAGTCAGTGAAGTATCCGGAGAAAGGAACATCATTTTCTAATTTGCCCAGAGATAGTATATGGGCTGAGATTAGTCTGTCATGGGCCCCTTTGAGACTCTGGTGATTGTTTAATATTTTATGCTATCATAAACACATACATATACACTCACTCACACAAAACAACAGAAACACAATTTTGGGAGCTCCAGGAATGGTGAGGGCCACTCCTTTATCCTCGATCTACTTACAACATAGGGAACTGCTGGGGGGCGGGGGGGGGCAGGAATAGAACTACTGCAACTTCTGTTATGGAAAGAATCGTTACCTTCTTAAGTTTTAAAATATTCTTGATGGTAATGAATTGATTTAATTGTATTGGTTCCTCCTTAAACCACCATTTCCTATTGAAAGAGGAAACCTCTCCTATACTTCCTTTTAGCTGTGGAAATTCAGAAGTTTGGTCTTTGGTGTTTTAGGCCTCATGAAAATACCTCCCTTCTACACTCGAGCTGTAGCTCATGGACCTGCTAAGAGAAGCCCAAACAAACTGGAAAGTAAATCACCATCCTGACTCAAAATCAAAGCATATTATGTTTAGAGTATTTTATGCCTGTCTTTACGGTTTTGCCATTGGCAAGAAATGTCAGGTCTAATGATGTGTCGTGAAAGAGTGTGCACTGGTCAATAATGATAGCAAAGGGCCAAAGAGCACCATAGAAAAAGGCTTCACCTCCACAATCTGGACTCTAGTCCCTTACTGGGAACTTCACCTTCAGATTTCTTCACATTTTCCTAGTTGAGTGCTCCTTGGCACTAGGACAGGGCTGATAATTTGAAAACAGAAAGATCTAGAAGTCAGTAAAGTTCTTTTTCTTTTGCAAGTGAGCTCTTTCAAGGAATAACAATGAATTATGTTTTTTAACTGTACAATGAATTATGTTTTTTAATGTGGAAAGGAAAAGAACGTCACACAACTATTAGGACTGTGTTAGAATTAGGTTCTAACCCCTTCACAGTGCTTCTGAATTCACATTATGTTGCTTGATAGAAGTATACCTTTTGCATCATGAACAAATGCAACATACTGTATGATCAATTATATAAGCTTTCACATTAAAATATTTTATTGCTTAAAGAAAAGAGTGTGCACGGGTGAAACAGGCTTAGTACATATTTCAGCAGCCAAAATTGCCAGGACAGGGAACAGAAAGCTTTGATTGTAGACTTATTGAGAAGAATGCACTAATACATTTTCAAAATAATAGCATTTGTATGGAAATGAGAAGACTGAAATTCTGATGCTGAAAATGTCAATTTAGGGTCAGTACTTATTCTAGTCTTGTATGACATTAAAACTCCAATTCAGGTGGAAAGTAAAGCTTTCCCCTGTTAAAATGAAGGCTTTTCTGATCATAAAACATGGCTTTCATAGTAACCTTGGCTTCCTGATCTAATATAGCTCCTCTTCCTCCCCAATCCATAGTCTTTATTTTCAAATAAATTGCTTAGAGATGTTACCTTCTCAATTCTCACAGTGAATTCTGTTTAATGAAAAATCCAAAAAATTTCATTCAACAGAAAAATAAATGAATCCCCAGTACCCACCTTACAATTCCCCTTCTTCTGAATGAGCCAGTTTTCTTTGTGGGTTGCTGGAATCTTCGAGACTGGCCAACTCTTCCACAGACAACCTTAATGGGTAGGTAGAGCCGAGGGCAGTCCATTGTGGGTTCTTCTGCTGGTGGTATCCCTTTTGGATTTCTCTAACTCTTCAGCTCAAAAATTTTAAAAGAGCATCACCCAGTGTCTCAGGGCACTGTCAAGTTCTAGGATGTTTGGGGTAAAGCATGTAGGAAAAATTTGGAATCTCCTCCTTGTTCCCTGACAGATGTTAGAGGCATCATTTATGTGACTGGCCCTGTTCCAACTTCAGAGAGGTCACCAGTGATGCATTTGTTGGAGCAGTGGGAAATTCCATGGAACAGTGTGGAATTCTTCATAGAATCTTGAATAAGGCTATTGCAGAAGTGGTGATCTGACCATGTAACCACTGCCATTTGGAGTGACAATAAAGAAAAGAATCACACACTAATTGACAGTCACATTCAGATGCACACGTCTGAATTCCAAAGGGGAAAGAACCTATAGGAAGACAAATGGTCTGTTGCTTCTGGTGGATCTGTCAGTGGGGGTTGGAGGATGCTTTGTGGCCCGAAGGACACCCACAGGAAAAGACCATGCACTCCAGGGGCTATTCCATTACATCTTGGAATTTTGCAGTGGTCCCTTAAAGCACAAGGCTGAAAAAGTTGAGAATCTGACTCAGCCAATCCCATCTTTCTGCATCTATTACAGGGAGAAGAGCAAATTCGGCTAGGTGGGAGCTTCACCTCAAGGTGGCAGCAGATTCCAAGATTTATTCCCATCATGCTGGCGCTGTCTCAGCCAGACTGGGTGCTTAGAAAGGCAAACGCATCCTGCTTTCTGTGTTTGTCTTCATCAATGACGTGGATTGTGCTCCTCGAACTTTGACGCGCAGAATTACCTCGGATTTTCTTTAAAATGTAGATGCCCATATAGAACACTTAGGATGGATCCAAGGATTCACATGTCCAGCAAACTCCATGGCGATGGTGATGATGCCACGTTGGCAGCCACACCATGAGTAGTGCAGGCCTTGTGTGTTCCAATGCCTGGGGAGAGAGTTTTTAGAAGATCAAGGGGTTGAAGTGTAGCACAACAGTAGACTCATACTTGGTCTGGATGTGACCTTGGGTTCAATTCCCACTACCTAGAGCCAAGAATAAGGTGCATAACACTGAGGGATTAAAGGGGTGAGTTTGGGAATATACCTAGGTTCACATTCTAGTCCAAGAACTGGGACTCTAGTCCATTCACTTAACCTACACGGAATGCTTCCTCATCTTTAAAGTGAGCATACCAAGGGTCCCCAAGCCATAGCTTCATAGGGAGATTCAAATGAAACAGAAGTTCTCTTCAACAAGAAATGAAACCCAGGACTTAGGAAGTATCCCAAGAGAATGGGAGCAGATGATTTTGAGAGACACTGCAACATACATACCTGATATGCTTTGATCAAACGGGATTCCACTACTACCTGGTCTGTTTTCTCTCATCTGTTGGAATCCCCAGATATTTGAATGAATGAATGAATACATGAATGAGCATTTTGGTTTTTTTTGGTACTGGGGATCGAACTCAGGTCCTTGCACTTGCAGTGCAGGCGGCGGAACCACTGAGCTAAATCCCCGGCTGAATGAGCATTTTCTTTAACCACAGGCCAAAGGAAGATCGTGTCCATTAGATTACAGTTGTAGCCTCCAAACCTAGAAATTGCCTGTCTTAATTCTACTGTAGTTAGGAAAATATCTTTCTGACTGTGATTACTTTTATGCTAGGAAGAGCAGTTTTTCTTCATGCCTGTGTTTGCACCTGTCTCTGTAAATGCACGTCCTCGGGTATTTACTGTCTGTAATAGGCTGGAACATTGGCTGCTGAGACTTCTGGGGCAACTTGTGTAGGTCCCAGAAGACCCCTGAAGCATGTGATACAGCTAGGAGGGGATGGGGGCATAATTCAGGTTCAGAATAATTTGATCTGGGTCTGAATTCAAGCAGCCGCTTTACCACTTATATGCTGTTGGTCTTTGAGCAGGTGACAAAGCTTTCCTGGAACTCATTTTCTCATTTCTAGAATAGGAGTGGTAACCGCTGCCTCCCAGGGTGTTTTATCCTTCCAGTATCCAACAAATATTTGAATACCTCATGGTTGCCAGGCACTCCTTAGACACCAAGGCCACTCAGCAAACAACACACACAGCGTCTGACCTCATCTACTTAACACACCGCGAGACAGGCTGATAACAAATGAGAAAATGAGAAAATTCATTCAATCGAGTGTTAAATGCTATAAAGAAAATAAAAAAGGATAATAAAGTGACAAGGGTTAAAGCAACATTAGAGGGGAGCATCGGGAAAGCCTGCCTGCTGAGGACACTGGGCTGAGCCCAGTGTGGAAACAGTGTCTCAGGGAGAGCCTGCAGTCCCTCCAGATAGGCTAGCAAGGACCAAGGTCCCCGAGGCAGAGCAGGCCTTTGGAAGGCGTCAGAGAGCTGAGGGAGGCACCAGGACCAAAGAGATGGATGTGTATGGTAAGCTGGAGAGACAGGGCCAGGCCTGCTGAGTCCTGCCAGCCAAACTGGAGCTTTTGGTCTTGATCTTCAGAGCAATGAGAACTTACTGAGGGTTTTAAAAGAGCTGGTGCATATGTATTTATTCCGGGCAATGGGCTTCCGCAGTGAAGAAAGTGACTAGAATCCTTGCCCATGAATGACAATTCTAGTAGAGGATCCACATTCGGCACTGATGCTGTGAAAAAAATTAGGAAAATGATAAAAAGCAATCAGGAGTGGCCCAAGTGACCAAGAAAGGTCTGTTCAAGAGATGATGTTTGAGATGGGACATCTACTGTGGAAAAGGAGACCAACCATGCTCAGCCCTTGCGGAGGTGAAGAGGTATTTCAAAGACAAAGAACTGTAGGAACCAAAGTTCAGAGGTGGGTGTGAACCAGGCATGTTGGAAGGGATGAAGAAGACCACTTTTCAATTGCTTGGAAAGTATGCTGGCGAGGAAAACGTGTGGTCGTGACAAGGTAGGTGCTCAGGCCGGGAGAAGACCATGACGTTGAGGAGCAGGGAGCTACAAGTGTGCAGGACGGAACATGCAGGATGTCACGCTGAAATGAGCTGGACAGGAGTGAGCAGAGAGGGAGACATTTGGCAGGCAGGGACATGTCACCCTAATCCGCAGAAGAGCTTACAGTGGAGCACTCAGCAGCGCCCGAGCTAAGGCCGCCAACCTAAGGTGCCTGAAGGTCTTCCCTCCTTCATGTGGCATGCCTTGGCATCCCCAACCACTCCCTGGACACTCTAAAGGTCCCTCTGGAAAGCCAAAAATCCAGTGGAGTAGGGCAAGGTGGGTCCAGACTCACGTTTCCTTGTTCTCAACATTGTCCTTCTACAGAGCACAGAGACTGCATAATCCTATTTTGGTAACTGCAAGCACAGTTGACTCCTAGCGGGGAGCAATTGACTGAAATCTCCAAATCAGGGATTGCAGACAAGAACCCCTCCCCTGGCTAGGAAAGGAAATGTGAGAAGCAGTGGGCCTGCAGGGAGAGGTGGGAACCGTGGCAAACTGCAGAGTACAGGCTCAATCAAATGCTATTTAACTTGGAATTTTTAAAAATGCCCGTGCATATAAACATACGTTCTGTAGGCCAGTTAGCTTGTGGGTTGCCCATTTGCTGCCTCCAGAGGTGTTTTCATGTTAACTCTCCATGCATCCAGACCTTTCTCATCAGGGGTCCTAAAGCTGACCCCACCCAAGTTTTAATTTAAACGGATTCACTGACATTCAGCTGGGTCTTGGCCAATTAGTTACAAGGTTGTTTTTCATCTCCTCTTTAATCTGTTGCATTCTACTCTCTCCTAGCAACCTGCACGCCCTGTGCAAGCACGGTAAACCGAGATTTTGGTCTTGACTCCAGACCCGGTGTGGTAAACACTAGAGTAGGGCAGGACACTACATTTCTATGAACTGGAGTCCTTGTTAAACTGAGCGCTCTTGAAAATGCATGAGTCTCCTCTGCCAACGAGTTCCTGAAGGCATTAGGGTTTGGGAGAACTCTGCATCTGGGAGTACGAACGGGCACTTGTCACCTGGCTCAAGCGTGTCTCCTTGCTGGGCCTTTGACCCTTTAGAGCAAAGGTATCGCTTTACAGATTTCTCAGCAGAAATTGTGCCTGGGGACATGCGTGTGTGTGTGTGTGTGTGTGTGTGTGGTGCCTAGAGACCGGATGTTTCTCCCCAGGATCCTCCCCACCACGACTGAGCTCCTGAGAAGTCAGTGGAGCAGGAACTGGAGAGAAAGCATCTCTGCCAGGCAAGGGGCTTTCAAGTCCATCATGCCTTTGATCCCTTTGTGTTTGGTGTTGGTTGCTGCCCCAGGTGAGTATTTCTAACAAGAGAGTCATGTCGCATAGCTTTGAGATGATGAGTTGTGGTCTTAAGTGTTGATGTTTGAAATGGCCAAGTCGTCCATGGCAGTAGCTCACTGGAAAGTCTCCTTTCTATCAAAATGTTTTCTAAACTACAGACGACATGAATGGAGTCGGGACAAACTCTTGGGAGGGCAAGGGACCCCTTCTACCAGTATTGGCCATCTGTACACCCAGGGCCAGCATTCTGCCTCTGGAAGGCCTTCCCAAGAAATGCACAGTGATGTAGGATGTATGTAGCTATATTTGTAATAGCAAAACCTAGGAGCAGTGTATGAGGTGTGCTAAAATATACAATGAATGCTTAAATTAAAACATTTTATTACAGTAAAGGACATATTGCCACGAATTCCTCAAACACTCTCCCTCACTCTGACCACACTCATCCCATTGTTCTTGGTACTTTCTGAAGCAGCTCTGAAGGTTGTGTTTTGAGGTGTGATAAAAATTTATGGTGAGTGCTGCTGCTGAGGGCCATCCAGTGGGATGGCAAGTTCATAAAAGCGCGACGGATCTGGCACTGTGCCACTTCTGGCTCTTCCTCAAAGTCAAAATGACCACAAAAGGTAAATGTTTTAAACTGATTCAAGGCATTAAGGCAGCCAGGACAGCACAACTGAAAACAGTCACAAAAGAGGACTTTCAGAAAATGGCAAGAAAGATGGGATAAGTGTATCTGAAGGGGTATTTGAGGGAGATTAAAAGCAATATAACTTTTACTGAAATAAATTTAAAAAATTAAACATTCACCATATGTTTTGATCACATGTCATGTATATCCACCAATAGAGGACTGAATAAGTGGGATTTCATCTATGCTCTGGATGTCTGAGCTACTCGAAGGAGGCGGGCCTGGTTCAGCCCAAGAGGCTCCTTACCATATGAGGCTGACTTCTAACTTCAGGGAGACTAGCTGCTCACCCAAGCGGCCATGTCATGAGTAATGGGTGGAACCGGGACTTGAGTCAGGTCTCCTTGACTCCAAATCCCATCCATTCCTGCCTTGGGTCCTCTCCTTCATCCACAGAGCTACTGCTATCAGTAGGGAAGGTGCTTTTCCAGTTTTGACATTCTGGGGACTTTTGCTTTTTCCATTTTCTCTGCCAAAGAAATTTACTATGACCCATGAAGCCGTTGGAATCATTTAAGAACAAGTGGCTTGGGTCTGGGAAGTTTTGCTTCAGATCCTGGCCCTACTGCCGCTCAGGTGTGTACCGCAGGCCACCGAATTTCTGGGCCTCAGTGTAAGACTATGCATCTCACCAACTGCTCCGAGGAGCTGACTACAGCGAGGATCACCCGGGAGGGAACACACCGGACAAGTTGTGAAAGTAAAACAGACCTTTATTAGTCTGGCCAGATGGCACCCCCCAAGCACCAAGCTTAGAGAGGCGAGAGGCTCAGAGCCTGAGGTCCTTTTATAGGAGATGCTAGAGGGAAGTTGGCAAGCAGAAATACAGACGCAAGACGCAGAGGGAATCTTCACAGATTGTTCTTAAGATAACATGTTCTGTTATGGAGTTGGGTAAGCATGACGGAACACTGCACACTCAACAAACCTTCCTGGCACAACAACAAATACATTCCTGGAACTCGATGTTCCCCTGGTGATCCGTAACAGAAGCACACAAGTTGGGGCCCTATTACAAAATGGAGTAACTGTTGTTCAGTCTCACACTCAGTTTCTCCCAGGTGTGCAGTGGAAGTGACAGTGATACCACCCCCACCCCATAGGTAACCTGAGGATTGAATTAAAGCATCCATGCGAAGGAATGTTCTATAGATGGTCATCGTTATTATTCACTATTCATCTAACAAGTAGGGAGTGAGTGCTCTTATTCAGTGGTTAAACAAGCACTTCCCTTGCAGGTAGAGTGCACGGTTCCTCGGGAGTCAAACAGATGAAAGGCTGACACAGTCTGATGCGTCAGATGTCATGGTGGTGCTGGGGAAACCCCGGGAAGTGGGATCTAGGCTGATCCAGGTGGCTCCGGGAAGCATTTCTTAAGGAAGAGATTCCCAAGTGGTATCTCAAGGATGGGTAGAGTTGGAAAACGGAGTGTTTTATAGACAACATATGCTGACCAGAGAAATGGAAAAGAGAAGTGGAACAGCAGGGAGGAGGGGCTGTGGGGAGAAGAAGCAGAGAAACTAGCCCGTGTCTGGCGGGGTCAGAGGCCTTTCCAGATCCCAGTGTGAACCCGGGGTTAACTGAGGGCTGTTTGATTTCCTCATGCTCCTCTCTCATGGGGCTGTGGCAATATTCTTTATGTTTCGCTGTATTCTGCAAATCTCCTCAGTTTAGATTCTCCTGGAAGGCAATCCCAAGAGAAGGGTTCAGGAGGAAGCAATTTATCTGGGACATGCTTCCAGGAAACAGCAGCAGGGGATGGGGGGGTGAGAAGGTGTTAACAGGAGCCCGGGAGAAGTTCATCTCCGTGACTCCGGGCTCCAAGGAAGCCGAGATGTTTAACCAACATTGCTTGAGGCCACTGGGCGGCTTCCAGGTGTTAATTCCATGGCCTGGGGGCTGAACCTTTGTGCAGGCCAAGCTGGGCTGCAGGCAGAGGAGCAGAGGCCTAGGAAACATGCTGGGCTGTATGGAGGCGATGGGGGATTGGCCGCATAGTCCAAAAAACTTTGAAACAGAACAAAAACAAACACAAACAAATAAATAATCAAACAAAAATGACAGAAAGAAAAAGAAAACCAGAGCCACCCTTGGGGAAGACTTCACTGTTCTCCTCTTGGGCAGAGCGTGAGCGGTGGGTTTCTCTGCCTCCACCTGGACTATCTTCCCAGAGATGTTTAAGTGGCAAAAGAGATATGTTTCCTCCCTCTGGTGCAGAGGAGGCCATATTTAACACCTAGGATATTAAAATGATTTTCTCTTTACAGGGAAAAGGTCAGCAAAATTTATGCTCATTTTTAAAAAGATTCAGGTTTTCTGTGTTCAGAATTCCTTAAGTATGGGTCAAAGACAAACCTGGGACAAGCACTGCATCCACCTGGCCTTCCTGTTGCCCTCGTGAGGCTTGGAGAATCAGGGGAGGGACGAGAGCGTGAAGCTCATTTGGTCAGTAAGAAAGTCCTTTGTCCCTGACCCAAAGGGCACATGTTTTCTGCCAGTGTCCATGAAGTTACGGCAGCCTAGCTTGTCAGCTTGCAAGGGGATTAGTTCTCAGATCCTTGGTGATCCTACTGAGCCACTTCAACTGATTTTTAAGCTTTAGTACAAACGAACTAAACATTTATTGTGCTTTTCCTTTGTGGGACAAAATGTGAAAGGGAAGCCCTGCAGAAATTCACATTTTAAAAAAGCAAAATTTTGTGTTTTCTTAAGGTGTTCTAGCATTTCTCAATTTTGCCATCGAGAATGCCAACCCTGTCCTGGAAAATGCCTCTGAGCACACTCGGGTGGCCGTGATCCGTGTGTCACTCTCACGTCACGCTTCTCTGGTTGGAGATCCTGTTATTCTTAATGCAAACCCCGTGGTCCACCCATTCGCACTGTCTCGTGGATCTACACTTCTGTGGGATGTGAGTATGCAGGCACACAGCACTACCGTTTGGTGCCCAGAGAGCTCGGGATGAAACTTACCTCACCCTCACTTCTTCCGGATGCTTTTACCTCAGCAGTGCTCCTTGGGATCCTACAGTGTGTCAGATAGTTAAAAACCCTCAGCACCACCAGAGTCTGTTTATTTTACAGGAATGTATTGAGGGTCTGGCTCTCAGGTGCAGGGCTCACTCCAGCTCTCTAGAGAGCAAGCTGTCGAAGTGCCGGGAGGTCTGTCCTGAGCCTCCTAAATGCCCTCCCCCACCTGGGGTCCTCAGACTTTTTTTTTTTTTGGTACCAGGGATCAAACTCGGGTTCTTGTGCTTGTGCAGCAGGTGGTGAAACCACTGAGCTAAATCCCCAGCCTGATCATCAGACTTTTGCATTTGCTTCCTGCTTCAGTGTGGCGTCAAATGCTGTCTCATACTCCTTCATCATTAGGTTTTTGTTTCAAGTCTAAGCAGTAGCAAAAGGGAGCAGAGTGTTCAGTAGTTTTACTCATTATTTTTATTACTGTATGGTAGAGAGCATAGCTCTTCTAAGGACTGATTTTGGAGTCTGACAAGTCTAGTTTTCAATCATAGCTCCTCCAGTTAGTAGCAACATGACCTTGGGTAAATTACTTGACTTTCTGTGCCTTGGTTTTCTTTTTTGTGTAATGAGATTAACAACAATAATGTTACCTTAGGAAGTGGTTGATAAAAAGATCCTGTGAGGTCAGGTATGCAAAGCGACAGCTTGCTGCGTGGTCCACACCAGCTAGTTAACATGCAGTACTGGGCAGGGGATTTAGCTCAGTGGTTCCACTGCCTGCCTCGAAAGGACAGGGTCCCGAGTTCGATCCCAGGTACCAAAAACCCCAAAAAACAAAAAACATGCAGTACTTACTATAATAAATAGAGTCCAGTTACTGAGCAATATTGTAGCCAGATTATAGATCATTAAAAAGGAAGATGTAGTCATAGTACTACAACTGTATCAAAGACCAGATCTAGATAGCATTAGAAACTGTCAAATTATAAAACAATTTCACAGCATGGAAATACACCTGTAGATAAAGCTGAATGAAGCAAGTTCATGCTTGTTTCTGTGATGTTACAGTAAACGGGGAGCATACGCTGCTCTGTACTGTTCTGCAGGGCCAGCACATCATTACCCTTTGTTGAACTTGTTTCCTTGCCGTGTATCCTTGTTTGGTTTGCATGATACTGGCTGAGCTTAGAAAGGGTGGCTGGACAGGCAAACAAAGACCATATCAGACAAACACCAATTGGTCTCCCAGAGAAGCAATAGCACACAAGGACAAAACTTGAAGTGAACTGATGAATAGATAAATCAATGGAAGTGGGGTGTAGTATGCTCCAGTTATGTAACCTACACACTGCTCCCTGTCGTGGAGCAACGTAAGGGGGCTGCCAAGGCAGGATGGGAGCAGACCTGAGCCACCTTCTTGTGCACCGGTCCTGCTCCCTGGATGGGGGGTGGCATCAGCCAGTGGGACTTGAATCATCTTCCTGTCTTCTCCCAGCGAAGTGTAAAGAATAAGACATTTCATTGGTTTAATAAATATTCATTGAAAGCTGATGTGAAGCCTGATGCTGTTAGGGTGTTAGGAAGCAAGCAGGAGATAGCTGACCCTTTGGGGTTCCCAGGACAGAGGCATCCACATGAAAAGGAAGCCTGCTTAGGGAGTTCCCCAAGGACAAGCCTGTCTTGCTGGAGGCTGAAAAACTTGTACATCTTAAAAATCAGGCTGGGGTGTTAATGACTTGTCAGGGTGTAGAGAAAAGAAGAAAGCACCAGGGTCAGGAAGTCCTGACTTTCCATCTCCACTCTGTTACTCGCCAGCTGTGTTATCTTGCTGTTTCTTCAGCAGCAGCATGGAGGGGCATTCGCATTTGTTCTATGGGATAACCATGAGGCCCTGTCCAGACTCTGCTCAGGACAGAACAGGCATCAAGCATCAATGCGCCGCTGTGCTTCTGTGGAACTGTGGCAGTGTGCCTGCATGTGGCTCTCAGCAACAGTGCTGGTCTGTGAAAGGGTTTTGGGAGTGGCAAGGTCAGGCCCAGCTTCTGCCTCCACCTGCAGCAGGAATCTCCTACCTATTTTACAGACTCTAAACTTCAGTCTCCTCATGTGTGAAGTGGGAAGGAATGCCTCTCTCAAGAGATTGTTTGGATGATTAGACGAAGAATTGAGAGCAACGTGTGTTACTCAGGGGGTGATCAGCCAACATTTGCTCTTGTTACTGTGAGGTTTCTGGGGTGACATTCATTCATTGTTCTGAGAGTCAGTGTTCTAAAGGCAGCCATGCAGCAGGGTGTAACCACCAGAACAGAGCATGGACTCTGATGTCTAGATTTGTACCTTGCCTGTTTCTTGCTGAGTGATATTTCTAAACTCCAATATCTTTGCTTGTAAAATAGGTGTACTAATGTTATCAATTGCACTATTTTAAGGCTAAATGATATAATTAATATTAAATGCTTGCCCAGAGCTGAGGAGGTGAGCCTCAAGGGCGCCAGCAGCA